CCCCCCCCCCCCCCCCCCCCCCCCCCGCCATCATCTCTTGCCGGATAGTTAGTGCTCTCTATATCGGTCAACGCCTGGCCCAACAAATACTTCCTAACTTCGTCTTGTGGGTTCCGAAGCTGCTGCGACGGTGGTTGAGAAGCTTGTTGTAAAAGGCTTTATTTACGTACACATTTATTTGTCCATTTCAAAACAGGGCAGTACGGGATCCAGTAGGGAAACTACTGTACCTGTTTAATTAGTACATCCCTCGTGCGTTAGATCGACCTTTTTAAGTATTGATGTAAAGGATCACTATACATTTATAATTTAAAGTTTATTATTTTCTCCCCCATCCCATGCAGGCCGGAGGGAACCCCTTTTGAAGATGGTAAGTAAATGTCTTGAAGGAACGAGTGAAACTTGCTTGATGAATACAACCTTGTCCTGAAGACCAGTGAAATAGCTTCCTTTTCTGCCCATGTGTTTGGGGGCAACCGAACTATTTTTAAAGGCCAGGCAGTTGATTGTACTTGTATTTTGGTAGTGAGCAAATACAACTCAAAAGAATATTGGATGGGTGGGTGGTGAGGAGTGAAGGAAGTTCGAACAGTGACAATAAATATGTTTTTATTACGAAGCAGCCATGCTTCCTGTTTGTGGAAATGATGTCTTGTTATTTTTCTCAACTCAAATTCAGATCAGTCCTACGTTTTCGAACAAAACCAGTTCTTAACACTTAGAGTTTTTAGAATAGCAGCTTCCTGGTTTGGGTGGATATCAGAGAGGAAGTAATTTTCTTGCAAAGTTCAAGTGTTTTTTTTTTATAACTAACTGATTTTGTGTGTGTTGCTGAGTATAGATATATTGTTGTGTAGTTATGATTCTTCAGTTGAGTGATAGATTGATGTATTTACTATGTTCCTATTGTTATGTTTAGAAATAGAAGTTGGGAGGTAGTTGGCACCTAATTCCTCACTTACATCCTAAATTGACAGGAACACCGATGTGGTGCAGAATACCATACAGAAGTGTGGCTTTGAAGCAAAAAAACAAGTAGCTGTTTTGATTGTAATTCAGATGTGCAGCTAATGTTGATTAAAACGATGATCTGGGCATTGGTGTCACTGAAGTGTAATCCTGTGTTTGTAGGATTCTGTAAAGGTAACTTGATATCGAGATATGTGCTATGATGCAGGACATTGCATTTTGCGACTCCACTTGTGGGTTGCTGTGTACAAACAGCAACTGAATATTCGCCAATTTAAATTCAGCTCAGAATTTTTGTTTAAACTCTAATTGGGTGCCACGTTGGAAGTGAGGAGCTGGAAAATGGGAGTGAAACTAAACTATTCTGTTTGCAATGACCTTTTGGGTCTCCATTTATGAACAGAATAAAGGGTGTAAATTTTCTGTAAATCCTCAGTTCTGAGGAAGGGTCACTGGACCTGAAACTTTAACTCTGATTTTTTCCTCACAGATACTGCCAGACTTGCTGAGCTTTTTCAGCAACTTCTGTTTTTGTTGTTGTAAATTTTCAGACTGGGTTTCACATGCCAATATATTGGAGTTAGTTATTCTTATAAATCCAAAATGAATGCTTCTAAAGTTTGAAACTATAGTCAACTAGAATACTGCTACCTGTTTTGCAAGTGGTCTTTCATAAAAATTCCTGTTGTATATGTTGTGCCACAGATGGACCCTGGGATCGTACCAGCAGTGATGAGCTCTGGGTCTTAGTTATGCCATTCTGAGGAAAGATGATAGGGAATCAAATTATTTTTTCCCCTCCCCCCTTCTCTTGGACCTTTTGCATATGCTGTGTGGAATTGGAGGTAGACATGTATCATTTTTGACAGTTGCATGCATCCTCTTTGGTGAACGAGTCAGAGGGTTAACAGAATTCATTATTTCACTACGCTGCAGCCAAGCAAGCAGTAAACGAGCCCGACAGAGCGTTAGAGAGAGACACAGCCCGACAGAGAGTGGGGCTGAAAGACAAGTTATTGCAGTTGGCTCCTGAGCTGTATTATTAAATTGGATAAGCATGTGAAAGACGACAACTTGTAGGGAAGCAGGGGTAAGGTATTAATTACAGAAATTCCACAACATGTAAACAGGTTGGTCAGGTCAGCTAGCTCATGCTGACATTTATACTCTACATTAAGCAAAACTCTCCTGTTTTTTATCTGACTTCGTTAGCATACTCCTCTACTCTTTCTGTTTCCCATTATCCTCATCAATGCATCTTTTTTTTTTGTTTCAACATATTATTGTGTTATTGAGTTTCATACTATTACCACTGTGGGTAAATACTTTAATTTATTAATGACTTTGTTTGTTTTAGCTCTGGCGTCTATTAATTTTTGTTCTTGCAATAAATGAAAAAGTTTACTCCATATCTACCCCACTGAATCCTTTCATTACCTTTTAAAGCTTGCCTCTCAGAGCATATCAACTCTTTTCTGACAGTTATTTTTCTCAGTTCTGCCAAGCTTTTTTCCAACCTTATCTCAAAATTCTTTGTGATAGAGACCAGAATAATGCCCAGTTCCTCTAAGTGTGGTCTAGCAGAGATTTTTCAAGTTTAGCATGGATTTCCTGCATTTCAATTCTTCTCAAAATGAATTCCAGTGCTTGGTTTCATTTTTTAAAAAAATGATGCTTTATTAATCTGTGGAGAGAGATTTTTAATCATTAAGGCAATCAAGAGTTATGGGGGGAAAGGCAGGAAAATGGAGTTCAGGATTATCAAATCAGCCTACTTCTGCTCTTATGTCTTAAGGTGCAACTGTTAATGATTTGCACATCTCAATATGATGCCAATTGTAACCGTTTCTTGTTAAAGAGCTGACACAGGTGTGAAGGACTGGCTTCCTTCTGAGCTGTATGTTTCTGTGTATTACTAGGTGGAAGGTAGGATTTTATTTTTTGTTTGTTTGATTCTTGCCACAGCAGTTGCTGGCAGAATCGTTCCATTTTGTTTATGACTCCTGTGAATGTGAGCCTATTTGAATAGGAGGTGTTATTATTAAGTCAGATTTCAAACTATGCCCAGAGTAAAGAGATACCTGTTTAGCCACTGTACTGAAAGGGTGGTGTCAGGGTAGAAAGGGGCAGATTACACACACACACCTCAACCATGAAGTCTGAAGTCATTTGATTGCAGCCCTGATTTTTATTTTTCACTAACATCTTCTATGAGATGTGGACTTAGCTGGCCAACCTGGCTTTTGATGCCAATCTCTCATTGTCCTTGAGAAGGTGGTAGAGAGATGCTACTTTGAACTGCTGTATTCCATCTGGTGCAGGGAGACTTGCAGTGCTGTTAAGGAGTTCCAGGGTTTGACTCTGTGACAGTGAAAGAATACCAGAACAATTCCAACTCAGGTTGGTGTCATGATCATATGAAAGCAAAATGCTGAAGAAACTCAACAGTTCTGGCAGCACTTGTGGGGGGGGGGGAGAGAGAGAGAGAGAGAGAGAAAAACAGCATTAAAGTTTCAAGCTGATAGACTGTTGTTCAGAGGTATCAAGATCAGTTAGGTCAACCTGGGGCTGAGATAGTGTCATTGCGTTGCTGGTTTCTGGGCTGAGTATTTTAGCATTGCTTAAATTTTGTTCCATTTGTTTGTAGGCTGGCTCTAGGTAGGATATTTTCAACTTTTATAATTGGCACTGACCAATTAAGTTGTGATTTCTAAATCCAAGTGAAGGGTTTTTTTCCTGTCTGTTACATGAGTGTACCCCATTGCCTAGAAGGAAGAGCCAGTGGGCTTGTTCTTTACTGGAATGTGCAGGTATCCTTGGTGAATCTTTTTCCTTTCGTATGTCGGAATATCTTTGGTATGTGTTGAGTTCCAGGACCTTGTTACACCATGCAGGATGAACTTTGCAAACTACAGAATTTTTAGTAGTTATGTACAGCTATCAATTCTCACTCCGTTTAACACCAGTGATTGAATCCTGTCTCTCTACTCCTTCCAGGTACTTTTAAGCTCACAATAGAATTCACAGAAGAATACCCAAATAAGCCACCCACAGTTAGATTTGTTTCAAAAATGTTTCACCCAAATGGTATGTAAATGAAATGTTGGTGTCTGTTGGAATTAATAAATTATCTGGCTTTAATTTATGTGTGTCTTGGAAATAATAATAATTGATAAACAAGGCTCATGGTAGATAGATACAGGCTTATACCTGGTATCATCTACCATCAACTTCATGACCATTGGGGGCAATTTTGTTCATTTTTCTGTTACTGACCTCTTGCACCATGAATGTGGGTAGAATTAGAATTGGAATTTGCTTTATTGTCACATATACTCAAGTATACAGAAGTACAGTGAAAAGTTGTCAATGTTGCTGTACGTGGTGCGTTCTTAGATACAAGATAGAGAAATAAAGGAAAAAGTTATATTACCTTAGTTATTCATTGTATAAGTTAGAAAAAACATTAAATGAAGTTAAAGATAAACATTACAGCCTTTCTGTAAAGGGCCTGCAGTATATCTGCGCAGGGATCTTCCACACGTGGTCTGATTTGGGCTCTCAAACTGCTGACTGCCCACACTGGTCCCCAGCCCAATAATCGTCCCACATGACATCGCACGATGTCCCTTCCCTCCTTTCCATTTTGCTAGGGTTCCCTGAGAGACAGCTCTCTTTTTCAACAGCATCTTTCCTCTGACCTTTGAAGTGCCACTGTTTCTTGTTTTCCCCTGCCAGTCACGATTTCTCAATAAAATGCTTGTTTAAACAATCTAATATGACCAGCCCAACAGAACTGGGCTTTGATCATGGCCCTACTGCCATGTAATCTAGTATTACTTTTGGACAAAATGAATTCATTTTGTGAGAAAGTAGCCACGTTTTAAATGTGAATTTTGAACTTCGGAAGAAAGAATGCTCAAGGTAGAGAGTACCTCTTTTTAGGAAGCTGTGTCTGTGATCAGTCTGTAGGTTAAATGTAGAATAGAACTTCTGTCATGTAGGTTGCAATGAGTGTACCCCTCTCTATTTTACCTGTGAGACATTTCTCATGTTAGATATCGTCTGACATAAGCTGTGGACTGGCCAAGAACAGAAAGAGACCTTTTGTCCTTAGATTCTAGGTTTAGAAGTGAAGAATTCTTGCTGCATAGGGCCTTGGGGAGACCACACCTGGAATATTGTGATTAGTTTCAATCTCTTTACTTAAGTATGGATATATTCACCTCCAGAGAAGCACTGAAGGTTCACAAGACTGTTTCCTGAGATAGAAGGAGGAGAGATTGAGTCAACTGGGCCTCCATCCTCTGTGTTTAGAGGAATGAGGGGAAATTTTATCGAAATATATAAAATGCCAACAGGGCTGAACAAACTGAATGCAAGTATGATGTTTCCCCTGTTGTGATGTGCAGGGGTGGGGCAGAATCTAGAATAAGGGGTCTCTCTCTCAGGAATTGCGGTAGGCCATTTAGGATGGAGTTGAGACATTTCTTCGCTCGAAGGGTTGAGAACCTTTTGGGATTCTGTATTACAAGATTGTGGAGGCCAAGTCATTGAATATAAGGCTTTGAAGGATATGGGAGTGAACAGGAGTATGGTGTTAAGTTAGAGATTAATCCATTATCATATTGAATGGCAGAGCAGGCTCGATGGGCAGAATGGTGCGGTCCTTCTGTGATTCAAATCCAGTCTACATTCTGAGTTAGATGGTTATGGCTTGAGACCCTGTCCCCCAGTAGCAAAGAAAATGAGCACTTCAGCAATGAACCTGGTCTTGGAGATGGATTTTGTTCAGCTTGTCTCTTCAGGTTTTCACACCTCTGCAGTTTGCCATTAGCTGGGAGATACTGACGAATTGAAAAGAAACCAGTCTCTTGAAATTGGTCTGAAAGCAGTTCTAAACTCCAAAATGAACCATATGCAACAATGACCTCGGCGCCTGTAATTCAGCTTCTAGCCGACTCATTGTATTAATTCCATCAGTACCGAATGTTTTGTTAGTGACAATCAAGCAAATTAAGAATGTTACCATAAAACATGTTGTTGAGGTCATATTTTAAAAAATACCCCTTTTAGAAGGGACTGTGGAAGTGATCATTTTTGCATTTGAGAGAGGTGATTTTTGACCATACTGATGTCAGCAGCTTTGTTTTCCTATGTTAGAAAGACCCCCAATCTCACTTCACTTTTCACTTTTTATTGAGACCTGAAATTTGTAATTCTTTCACTCGTGTCAGACTGTTGGAATGCTGCTGCCCTTCACGGTCAGATTCAAAAGCCAAAGTGTTTTCAACAGTGACCTGAACTTTTTATCCCATGAAATTCTAGTCTCCATGGACAAACTACTTTGTACAAACTGTTTTGCTGTCTTCAGTTCTGTTGCCAAAATGCAGTTTTGCAATTTAATGTGTAGTAAAAGGAATGTTGTCATCCAGATTAGAGCCTCAACTGTATCTCCTGTTGGCTGGGAATGCTGCTGAGTTCAGTGTTGTTAAATTATTAAATGAAGGTGTTTGAGTGTGTTGCTTCGCTTCAGAACTTCTGATTATGAATTTTTTTTAAAGAAGGCTTAAGATTGAATCCATTACCATGGAATGTTTTATCTCATTTTTGTTTCCCCCGCCCCACCGTAGTCTATGCAGATGGCAGTATATGTCTGGATATACTGCAGAATCGCTGGAGTCCAACATATGACGTGTCTTCAATCTTAACGTCTATACAGGTAAGTATACTATGTACACTGTTAAATTTGACCCTTTACCCCTCCTAGTTGACTGACACTGCAGAGGAAGTCTTCTGCCAGTCTCTTTTTTTTTTCAGGAATCTGTTGCTCACCAGCGACACTTTTTTTTTGCCTTGTTTGGATGTATCTGCCTCTGTGCCAGCACAGACTGTCCCAGTTCAGACTGGAACTTGCTGTACGGTGAAATTGCAGAAACGAATGCATGTTGTAACACTTAAGTTTCTCTCTTTTAAAAACTATTTCTCTCTGCACTGTTGGATCTGCTGACTTGGTGAGATGTGGCCTTACAGGAATTGGCAACCCTCTAGTATCCCAATCATGTGGCCATTTGTATGTTCGAAAAAATGTGCTTTGCTCAAAAAGTTCGTAAAGGATTACATTTCAACGCTGACAGTCCCTAAAGTGCAAAACCGAGCATGTGTTTAATTCAATATAGCACTATGGTAAAGCTGACTGGGAGATTAGGTGAAGGGTCAATGGATATGCAGCAGCAGACGTTAAAGGAGATATTTCATCAAACTCAATATGGATATGTACCAGTGAGAGGAGGCTGCAGGATATGGATGTGCTTGTAGCTAATGAAGGGAATTAAGGACAGTACCAAGTTGAAAGTGTCCAATTCTTCAAAATTTAGTGATAGGCCAGAAGATTGAACAGCTTTTCTTTAAATGAGAAATTAATGGGAAAATTAAAACAAACTGGAAATAGAAATTCTTAACCGTGTATTTATCTACAAATATATTTAATAAGGACAAGTAACTATTCCTGCAAGTTCCCTCCAAGCCGCTCGCTATCCTGGCCTGGAAATAAATCACTGTTTCTTTAGTGTCGCTGGGTCAAAATCCTGGGGAAGTCCCTCCCTAAAGGCATTGTAAGTCAGCTTACTGCACATGGATTGAAGTGGTTCAAGAAGGTGGCTCACCACCACCACCTTCTCAAGGGCAACTAGGGATGGGCAATAAATGCTGGCCAACCAGTGATACCACATCCCACAAGCCAATTTTTATAAAAAGCCTGAAAGGAGCTTTAGTCCTTTTTTTCTCCCCCTCCGTCCTCTGGGTAGGAGAATAAGTTGTAAAGAGGATATAAGGAGTCTGCAAAAGAATCAAAATATTGGCAGATGGACTAATATGGGAAGATGTGAACTTATCCACTTTGACAGGAAGAATAAAAGAAACACTTCTTCTTCAAATGAAGAGATTACAAAACTCTTCAGTACAGAGGGATCTGGTTATCCTGTACAAATCGCCAAAAGCTGGTATCCAGGAACTGCAAGAGAAGGCCAATATTGTGAGGGGATTGGAGCATGAAACTAAATGTTTGCTGTATTTGGTGATGGGAGATGGTGAGACCGCATTGGAGTATTGCCCATAGTTCAGATCTCATTGCTTAAGAAATTATTATAATTGCATTAGAAGCAACTAAGAAGGTTCACGTGGCTGATTCCTAGGATGAAGGAGTCATCGTATTGAGGAACGTTGGACAGATGGAGACATTTAGAGTTTAGAAGAACAAGAGGTAATCTTATTGAAATATTAGATTGTAATACAGGATTCTCAGGGAGCTGGATGGAGAAAAGGCTGGGTTGTGTGGTACAGCCCAATTAAACTGCAACGTTCCACTGAAATGTGACTAGGTCCATGTCTCCACCAGTCTCTAAATCTCTGGTTGATACTTTTCCTTACTGGGTATAAAGCTCTCCTTCCTGTGCAGACAAATTCTAGTTACTACATTTGTTGAACAAATGATGGGATAAACAGGGGAGTCATAAGATCAGTCACTTGCTTCCCTCCTTTGCAATGCTGGGAGCAGACCTCCACGTGCAGTGACCCTGATTGTGTAGCAAGGGGTCTCTGCACAGCTTGAGGCAACTGCATATGAAGGTGAGGGCACTGAGGGCAACGATTGGTATGTTTTGCGAGCACATCGTTTCTCCCCTTTTGCCTTGAGATTTGTACATTTGTGTCCATTTCTGATCTCTAGGCAGTGTAGAAAGTGGCTGAGGTGAGCTCCACAGTGCAGGAGTTTGATGTGAGACTCACATTATTTAGGGTAACACAGAGAGGGTGCCTTGCCTGATGACCAGGTTATTGCCTGTGGTGGAGAGGGTGTGTTGCTGTCTCGTGCTCAGTTTCTAGTTGCAATGGCTACAAACGAGTTCATTGGTGCACTCCCATCTCCCCACCCTGAATCAGCTCTTGAAAGCCTTCTGGTCGTTTGACATGAATCTAAAGGGTACAAGGAATAGATCGACTCCATGAGCAAAGACTGAACCATTGTACTTGCCACAATTTGTTCTGTCTCCTGAAGTCAGTTTGCTGATTGCAGACGTTAAAAGATCAGCAAACGTGTAGTTGATCTGAGCAGGAGATTGCACCGCTGTTTGTTGGGAGGCTTTGGACAGTGTCTTCCCTGTCTGGGATTGACGCCCAGGTATGTCTGCATGCTTCCCGATTGACTAAGCAAAAGATGTAATGCAGCACCCAAATGGGAGGGGGCAGCCATGCCTGACTCTGGTTTTCATCAGACAGCTTTCAGATTTGCACTTGTTGATTTTAAACACTGATGCTGATGTGGAGCAGTTGGATCCAATTGTGGATTCCTTCCCCAAAGCAAATTTTGGAAAGCACATCTGTCATGTCAGTGAACAGTATTGTGCCAAAGGCCTTCTGGTGCAAGATGATGAGGCATATATTCACACTTTTTTTTCGTACCACACGTGGTCTCGCAGTACTCGGGGAGTAGTTGAATCTTCCTGACCAGTATAATGCATACCTGGTCAGTGGACCACCAGTCCCACAGTGGGCATGATCCAATTGATGATGATCTTAGACAGTATTTTGTAGTCTGTTAAGCAATGAATTAGACTGCCAATTTTGAATATCCTCCCCCTCCTTCCACTTGCAGATGAGGGAGATGATGCCTTTCTTTGTGGGTTCTGTAATGTATTGGCCAAATGTGTACCTTCATACACTTCCAGCAAGCCTGGCCTAATAAACAGCCGACTACAACACTGCTGGTAAACCAATCATTTCCATGAGTTTTACTCTTTTTTTTCAAATGGCCTTTGTCAACTCATCCTGGAGTTCCAAAGGGTCACTGTCACTATTTGCTATTTTTTGAAGATTTAATCTTTGAATACGGAGTAAAATTTCAAAATTTGCCAGATTTACTGGCAGATAGGGTTCAATTTGATAAATGAGATATTCCATTTTGATAAAACAAACAAGGGCAAGACTTACAGTTAATGGTCGGGTCTTGGGTGGTATTTAACAGAGGCCTAGGGCTTTAGGTACGTAGTTCTTTGTAAGTTGTATCACAGATAGACAGGGTGGTTAAGAAAGGGTTTAGCACACTTGCCTTCATTGCTCAAAGCATTGAGTATAGCATTTGGGATGTCATGTTGAGGTTGTACAGAATGCTGGTGAGGCCACCTGTGAGGTCCTGTGTGCAGTTCTGGTCGCCCTGTTACAGGATGGATATTATTAAATTGGAGAGGGTTCAGAAAAGGTCTACCACGATGTTGCTGGGACTGAAGGGTTTGAATTACAATGAGAGGCTGGATAGGCTGTTTTTTCCCCTCTGGAACCTAAGAGGTCGAGGGGTGACCTTACTGAGGTTTATAAAATCATGAGGGGCACAAAATAAGGTGAATAGCAAAGGTCTTTTCCCTAAGGAGGAGGAGTTCAAAACGAGGATGTGTAATTCTAAGGTGAGGGGAGAAGGATTTAAAAGGGACCGAAGGGGCACAGGGTGGTTCTTCTGTGGAATGAACTGCCAGAGGAAGTGGTGGATGCAGGTACAGTTACAACATTTAAAAGACATTCGGATAGGTACGTGAAAAGGAAAGGTTTAGAGGGATATGGGCCAAACGTACGCAAATGGGAATAGTTTAGTTTGGAAGTTTGGTCAGCGTGGACGAGTTGAACCAAAGGGTCTGTTTTCATGCTGTATGACTCTGACTCTCAACAGTGAAGATGGTACAAATTGTTGCAGCAGGACATGTGCCAGTAGAATGGAAGACCAGTGGTAGAAGGAATTTAGTATTGGAGAAGTGAGAGGTGAGGTATTTTGGCAGAAGGGTAGGGAGGGGTAATACAAACTTAATGAAGGGTGTGCATGAACAAGGGACCTGGTATGCATATACTTAAATCTCAAAGTGGCAGGGCATGGTGAGCAAAGCACATGCATGTTTGGACTCCATGAATAGTCATTGAGCACCAAAGCAGGATCCTGCTGACCATTTTACAAAGCTCTGGAAGGGTGGCGTTGGTTGGTTTATAAGGTTATTTTGGCGAAGGTTGCTCTTTTCAGAGCAAAAGAGATTGAAGGGAGATTTGATAGAGGTGGAAAAAGATTATAACAGGCTTAAATGAGGAAGACAAGGAAAATAATTTCCTATTGACTGTACAAGGAGTAGAGATTCATAGATTGTAGATTTTTGACTTGCGATGCACAGAGGAAGATTTTTATGCAGTGAGCAGTAATGAGCATGAGGGTTGATGGAAGCGAAGAGAATCGAAAATCTCGAAAGGAAATTGGATGGGTGCATGAAGGAAATAAACTTGCAGAGCTACAGGGACTGAACGGTGGGACAAGAGTCTGACTAAATTGCTCCACAACAATCATAGACTCTGGCTCAAATAGCCTTCTCTGAACTTCTCTGAAATGACTGAAGCTAAGCTAGTACGACTATGGGTTTGACATCACCCAATGTTCAGTGAACCTATTGGATGTAGGCTGGAAGGGCCTTAGCTGGCTGACTCCTCACTATTTATATACCAAAGAAATGAGGGAAGTTGGAACATCAGCATATAAATTACAATATGTTATCAGCATGCCCAGCTCAATCGGTCTGTGTATCTTTCCTACAGCCAGCAGGTATGGTCCTGTGCACTCATCCTGCTCCTATTATCCCTTTATCACTCTTGCCTTTGACCCCCATTCACTCTGTTCTTAAATGTTGACATGACCTGTGCTGCTTTTGACAGCATCAATGCAGCTAATTCAAATTTGCACAGAGTTAAACCTGGCCCCTTGGGGTTTAAGTATTATATGGTACACTGTCCTTCTGAACTAGACAATCAGGAAATGTGCCCTGTCGCTTTTCAATCCAGAGCAAAGAATGGAAGCACATGGCAATAATATGCCCTCAGCAGTTAAAGCATTTTACCATTGTATTTTATAGAATCGAGAGCGTGCAGGAGTTGACTTCGCACAGAATCTTTGATAATTGGGGCAGAATAGACCATTCGGCCCATCTAGCTTGCTCTGTTGTTCAATATCATGGCTGATTTCACTCAACACTTTCACAATCTTATGTTGTAGAGAATTCTACAAATTCACCACTCTCCGAATGAAGAAATTTCTCCTCATCTCCACCTTAAATACCCTACTCAGTATCCTGAGATACCTTGCTCTTAACTCCCCCAGCCAAGGGGAACATCCCTTCTGCAATCAGACTGTCCAGCCCCATCACAATTCTACATCAAGATCCAACGCCCTCTGCCCCCCAACCTCATTCTGAACTACAGTGAATACAGACCTTGTGCTTCTGTTGGTGCTAGATTTTCAAGTAAAGTACTCGTCCAGTTCCATGTGTCTGCCATTTCCCCGTGTTCATGTACTCGCTGGTTATCATGTTGAATCTGAAGAAAGACATTTCTGTAGCTGTGTTTGAGATTTCAGATCGTTTTCAGCTGGCAGACCCATAGCAGGGAAACTGGAAGATTAAAGCACTCACCATTTCCAAATTGCACTTCTCTGGAATAAAATCACTTAAAAAATTCTCTTCTATATTTGTGATGCTGGCTTTTTTGTCTAGGCGCAACTTGTAAGGGAAGTAATTATTTGGGAATTTAATGTTGGCATCACAATTTGATTGAAAGTGTGATCTTAAAACATTTGAACAGTCTATGTTGCTGACACATCCCAAGCAGTTAGGAAAGAATGGAATGGTAATAGCATTGCTGGAATAGTAATCCAGAGTTCTGGGGGGATGTGAGTTTATAATCCCATTAGAGCTGTTGTAATTTAAATTTGAATAATAAATCTGGAATATAAAACTGACCTCTGTAATGGTGACATTGAAACTATTGGTTGTTTAAGAAAACAATTTTTTTTTCACTAACACCCTTTTAAGGATGGAAATTGTCATCCTTACCTGGTCTGGTCTACATGTAAACCTACAGCAATGTCTTAACTACCCCTGAAATGGCCTAGCAAGCCATTCAAAGGCAGTTAGGAATGGGTAATACATGCTGGCCTTGCCCACATTCCATGAAAATATATTTTAAAGTATACACTTGCATTTTTCAATGTTTTTGTGCCACTGAGAAATTTGAGTTCAATTTCTTTGAATCTTGATATATTAATGAACTAAATGAATGAGGTCCCAACATGGGGAGAACCACTATGAGAAACTTAATTTTTGCATTTGGTACCATGTGGCGACACCTTGGTCTGTGATCTTTGATGGAAACCTGCACTATGTGAGACCTCAAACACAAAACAAACTATTAGGTTCAGAAACAAAGATTTTGGATTCACTATCTCGAATGTCGCAAAACATTACATTTAATTACCTTTTGGGTATCGTCAAGCGTGGCAGTGAACTTGTGCCATAATAGTAATTAGAGGACATTGCCTAGAATAGTGAAGAAATTCCTGTGTTCTTTTCAATATTGCATTGGGATCATCACCTAAGGTGCAGACAGAAGGACCTTAGTTTAACATCTCTTCTGAAAGATGCCTTTTTAACAATGTAGCACTCCTCAACTTCACTAATTTGTTGACCTCCAGTGTGTGTTTAAGTTTTAGGGTGGGGTTTGAAGCCAGTGGTTGGTTTGTTTGCAGGAAAGCTGGTAAGTTAAGACTTCAACTAAATTGTTTTCACCAGTGGCTCATCACAGGATATTAAAGGATAGAGCAAAGACTAGGGAACCAGGATAAGAACAGACAACCACAGTGTAAAACCTAGTGTAAGTGTGATGAGTTGAATGATATCCTGTGCAATTTCTGTGGCAAAGAAATATTTTTCTCCCTGAGCTGAAGGATGTTTATGCTGGAATGGAACAATGTTGTATTTCTGCTAAGCACATTAACCCAAATATGGTACAACATAACCAGTCTTGTTGGGCAGAGCAGAAAGTACTTCAGTATATCTCAAACCTTTTTTCTCAAAAGGAGTGTGCAGGCAGAGTAGAATCTAAATAGATTGCCAGTTGCTACTGAATTGAGGACAGTTTTACATGATGAGGGTTAAGCCTACTAGGAATGAGGCTTCTCGAGCTCTCTTTCAGAAGGATCCTTTGCAAGTGGAGGAGATTTATATCTTATCAATCTTGGCTGACCCCAGGCTCGAGAGATGATTTGTCTTGTTACCTGGCTTCCAGCCAGTCAATAACACCTAACATTAGTCTGCTACATATGATTTGGGAGTAGGTCATTCTGCCCCTTGAACCTATTCCACCATTCAGTAAACTCAGATTACACCACTGCCAACCCTGAAACCTTTCACCCACTTATCTATCTACCTCTGCCTTAAAAATATTTAAGGAATCTGCTTCTGCATTTGAGGGAAGCATTCCAAAGACTCAGAAACTTGGAAAATAGTTACCTTCTGTCTCTCAAATAGGTGATCCCTTACTTTCTAAGTGATCCCTAGTTCTAAATTTTCCCACGAGGAGACTTCCTTTCCATATCCACCTTGTCAGAACCCCTCCATCTTGAATGTTTGTCAAGTTGCCCCTTACTCTTCTAAACACCAGTGGATACAGGCTTAGTCTTTCCTGGTAAGAAAATCTGCTCATTCTTGCTATTAGTCTAGTAAACTTTCTCTGAACTATTTACGATGAATTTACATCCTTCCTCAAATAAGGTGACCAGTACTGCATGCAGTACTCCAGATGTGGCCTCACCAATGCCTTGTGTGAATGAAGCACAATCTCACTACTAATATATTCAATTTCCCTTCCAAAAATCCATGGTATTCTATTTGGTTTTTATAGTTCCTTGTGCTTGTGTACTAATATTTATGATTCATGACTAGGCAGCTCGATCCCTCTTGATCTTAGATTTCTGCAGTCTCTCTCCATTTAGGTAATACACAGTTTCATTCTTCCGACCCAAATTGCCAACTTCATATTTTCCCACATTACACTACCATTTGCATAATCGGTCTATATCCCTTTACAGCTTATGTTCTCTTCACAACTTTATTTCTTATCTTTGTTCCATTGGCAAGTTTAGCAACTGTGTCTTCAGTGTCTTCATCCAAATCATCACGCTTGTAAAACATTGAGCCTCTATCACTGATTCCTGTGGCACACTGCAATATCTTGCCAACTTGAAAAAATTAATTTATGCCTACTGTCTGTTTCCTGTTAGCTAACCAATTTGCTTCCATGCCAATCAATATGTTACCACCCATACCATGAGCTTTTGTTTTCCACAAAAATCTTGGCTGTGACACCTTGTCAATTGCCTTCATTGAAATATAAGTACAGTACATCCACCGGTTCTCCTTTATTCACAGTACATTACTATCAGACAACTCAAATAACTTGGTCAAACATGATTTTCTCCCTTCACAGAATTGTGCGATTCTATCTGATTGTATTGAATTTTTCTAAGTGCCCTGCTATATCATTTGGCCTGTAGTTTTGTGCTTTTTCTTTTTTCTGGTTTTTTTTTTTTTTAGTAAACTTTATGCTATTTACTAATTTTAATGGAATGTTCCCAGAGTTGAGGGAATTTTGGAAGAATTAAACTCAGCATGTCAACTGAGTTGGCCATTTTTTTATAAAGACGACAGGATGAAGTCCATCAAAACCCAAAGATTTCTAAGCCTGCAGCTTGACAATCAATCAAACTTTTTATATTTCTAACTAGCTTTCTCTTGTATTTTCTCCCCCTCTATTAACATTTTAGTCACTTGCTATTTTTACATTCTGTCCAATCTTCTAACGTGCCAACCATCATTAGGTTTGGTACTATTTTAACATTTTTAGTTAACAATGGATGATGGGTCCTCTCCTCAGATTAATTCAAACAAGAAAGTAAAATTCCATCTTATTCTGAAAGATCCCCTTAGATGTCTGCCACTGCGTCTCTCTTTGCTATCCTTTAACCTAATAATTGCACTCATTTAATTTGAAATGCAAGTCTTTGATCTGCTGTTCTCCTTCAAACTGAATTTAGAATTCAGTAATTTAATTCTATAACATTTGCTGCTACCCAAGTGTACCTTCATTATGTAGTCATTAATTTCTATCTCGCTGCAGAGTACCAGGCTTTGTATAGCATGTTTTCTGTCTGGTTCTAGAACCTGCTGTTCTAAGAAGCTATACTCAAACCATCTATGAATTCCTCGTGTAGCCTGTCTGTGCTTTTCTGATTTTTTTTTTTTCCGTATTGTGTAGATTAAAATCCCTCGTGTTTGTAGCTGTATCTTTCTGACATGTTTGGTTTTTTTTAAATTCTCTGTCCTACTGTGTGTTTACTGTTAGGTGGAGTGTACATCACTTACACAAGGAATTTCTTGCCTTCATCATTTCTCATTTCTACTCAAATCACTTTTGTACATCCAGGTTCCCTAAACTTCTGTTATGCCAATACTATCTTATTTAACAGAGCCATGTCTCCCTTTTCCTAGCTTCCAGTTCTTCCTAAATGCTATGTACCTTTTAATATTTGGGTCCCAATCTTTCCACCTGCAGCAATTTCTTTGTAAAGGCTATCAGGACATTGTTTATTTTTGTTAGCGCCATCATTTTCCTTTGTTTTATTTTGAATGCTACGTGCATTCAGATACAGACTGTTCAGTTGTGTCCCTTTCATTATATTTGAACTCTCTGGCCTTATCTGTTGACTGATTAACTTGGATTTGTACTCGTTATCCTTTCCTGTCATTGTCTGTTTGTCATTTCTCCCCTTCCTCTCCTGGCTTGACTCTACCTTTTGATTTCTGTTTGCTGCAGAGAAGTGTGAATCCTCGTCACTATATGTCCCCTGACTGCCAGTATATTCCTTTCTGTTACAAATCTGAAAGTCCTGAGCCCTAAGTCAACCTGAAACTTATTGGGATGAATGGGTGTTCTGATCTTGATTACCTTTATTTTGGAAAGTGTTGTTTCATCTCAAGTGGTTTGCTTATGTGAACATTCGTCCTTTGCATCAGCAATTGATGTCAGTTATCGCTTTTTTTTCCTCCACTCTTGAAGTTCACTTCCAGCTAGATAGTGAACAGAAGCAAGTGGCTAACTGCATCCCACACCCAATCCATGGGCATCATGTCTGGGCGATTGATCTAAGCGATTGAAACGTTGATATAAGCTCTCAAGCTGAACAATTGATTTGAATGTAGATATTTGGCAGGTTTGGCTTGCCTGATTCAAGCCCAGATTGGAGCCTCTAGTTTTTGTTTATTGCTGCAAGATGGCCACTTAGTTCATGAGCTTTGCGTTCTGATGATTGAATCTCCCTTTGTATTGTAGCCTGTTTATTTCCAAACGGTGTGCCTGTGTGTATTGAAATTCACTTGTGCTGCTGAAATGTTACCCACTGCAAGTCCAACACGACTGTTTATGGTGCCACATTCTCTTGTACCACTGTTTTTCCATCTATTATGAATGACTTATTTATTTTTATGCAGAGTTTGAGAGCTTAATGGGGGGGAGAATGTAAATGCATTCAAAGGTAGACCGTCTTAATACTTCCACT